CATTTTTATTGTAAACATTTATTTTTTAACATGATACATTCACGAGGTTCAAAATTCAAAATGTACTTTTAAAATTTTTAAAATTACAGTTGACGCTCTGGCTCATGTGGCTCAGTGGATTGAGCACTGGCCTGTGAACCAAAGGGTCACTGGTTCAATTCCCAATTAGGGCATGTGCCTGGGCTGCAGGCCAGGTTCTCAGTAGGGGGGCCCGTGAGCGGCAACCACACATCAATGTATCTCTCTCTCTCTTTCTCCCTCCCTTCCTCTCTCTTTAAAAATAAATAAAAAAATAATTATAGTTAACATTCAATATTATGTTAATTTCAGATGTATTCTTACCAGTTTTTTTGTCCGTCCTTCTAGAGATATTTTATAGCAAAAAAAACACTAAAACCTAGCTAACAAACCAGTCAGCTAACTTAATGCACATCCAGCAGCTAACTGCCCATCTAACTTATTAACTATGTTCTCCCCATGACTTTTTATACGAATGGTTACACAACATGTGTGCTGTTCTGCCGGTTACAGACTGCCGTGTAGCAGGCATGAGCCCCAGTGGCCAGTAGAAGCAGCTTGGTTTGCACCCTCCACCCTCACCACTGCTAGCAAGAAGAGCCGGGCTCCACTTTGGGCAAAGGAGGTGGTCTTCTTCTCTGGGAGGAAGTGCACCAGCCTCTGGGGGGCCCGCTGGAGGTGGAGCAGATGCCCGCTACCCACCGAGAGGATGCAGAAGAAGAAGTCCATGGCAGGTGCAGTCGGGGGTCCAGCCTGATCAGCACGATGATGAGTGTGGCTGGGTCAGCACATAGGCAGCCGCAAACAGGACAAAGAGTCCAGCCTGGGTCCACCTGTCACCGGAGAGCCCCAGTGGGACAAACTCACCCACCCCCATCAGGTTGCTCCTCCTCTAGGCCAGTGGGCTGTTCCAGGAGGCAGTATTCGAGAGGCCGAGTCGGAATCAGAGTTTGCCGTCTGTGCTGAACAAGGGCCTGACGGGGGACTGTGAAGGCTTGCGCGTTTTCCCCATTACACTCGGAGCTGCTCGGAGTCGGGGATTTTGAATGGTTTGTCTTTTTGTGCAAAGATTTCTAACAAATGTTTCACATTAGAACATTTTTGTGGGGGGGGGCATGAATAAAAAGAGTTTAAAGGTCTTGAGGATTGTACTCTGATCCCAAGATGTAGGACTGGAATTCCCCTTTCTCCTTATTGCTCGGGCTGGGCCAGTGGTTCTTCCTGATTCTTCCACCAGGCAGGCTGGGCCAGTGACAGAGAAAAGCGCTCACTTGGTTCTCAGCCTCCTGATTAAGCAAGCTTAGTCCTAGGTCGATAAGATCAAGGCCTCACTGTAGAACAACACCCTACCAGCTATAATTACGTCCCAGCTTCGTGCGATTGCGCTTTGTGCGACTGTGCTATTTCCTTGGTGAAATGCTGGCATTTGTTTGAATATTAAAGTAAGTGATTAATAAAAGATGCATGCGCACATCGCTTATTTGCAGTGACAACATTTGGAAACTGCCGGCACCCACAGATGAGGTCAGAAAGGGAGCACCTCTAAAACCCTCGGGGCTTTGTCATGTGCAGATCCTTCTGCCACAGCAAAACCGCCACCTCCCTGTTTACTTTGCTGGTCTTTCGCCTCTGTCAAAGGAAAAAGATGCCATTTTTAAAAATGATTTTATTTTTAGAGAGAGGGGAAGGGAAGGAAAAAGAGGAGGATGGATATCAATGTGTGGTTGCCTCTCATGTACCCCCTGCTGGGGACCTGACCTGCAATCCAGGCATGTGCCCTGACTGGGAATCAAACTGACGGCCCTTTGGTTTGCAGCCTGCACTCAATCCACTGAGCTCCACCAGCCAGGGCTAAAGGTGCCTTTTTTTTTTTTGGTTAATATAAGTGTACTAAGCAGTTTTATAGTCTTTATTTCTCTGTTTATTGGTAACAAGCCCCTCTGTGCCTTTTTTTTCAATATTTGCCTCCTGTGCTTTTGCAGCATGTGGCGGAAGGAAGCGCTGTGGCCCAGGAGGAGAAGGAGGAAAGACTGCGGGGACGTGGGCAGGTGTCCAGCTGCAGAAAAGCCCATCTGAATGTCCATTAGGGAAAGCTTGAGAAGGGAGGAAAAAGCTCCAGAAAATAGACCTTTTCTTTGAAAATCCCACACGGTCCATGGCGGGTCCCAGGGCAGTGCTTTCTACACGGGCTGCACTTTAGAATCACCTGGGACATGTGAACACTCCAGAAGCCCAGACTGTGCTCCTGAGTAATTAAATTAGAGTGTGGGATGGGCGGAACCCAGACGTTAGCATAACAGTTTCCTGTTTCCCTGGGGATTCGATGGGAAGCTAGGTCTGAGAATCACCGCTTTAGGGGGAGCCTTGAGCCTTGCTTTTGAAGAGTCAATATGTGGTTTGTGAGAGAGAAATTGTTTTGAGACAACCATAGAAGAGCTTTTGAGGAGGAAAGATCTTTTGAGCTAAACTTCTTATTCTTTGGTTGAAAAAGTTATAGCCAGGAGAGTTTGATTTGCCTCAAAACCCGCCATGAAGCAGTGGAAGCGGAATCCTGGATATCTTGCCTTCGGTGAGCCTAGTCTCCCCTTAGTCTTAGCTTTCTGAGGTCTGGTCCACAGACAACCTTGTAGAATTTCCAAGAACCAGTGGGTATCAAATGAGGTGTAGTGTGAGAGAGCCCTTTCTAAGTTTCAGAACATTTTCTAAATGAAAAGCATTTGTATTAAGGATAGGAGAGATGGGCTATAGAATCCCATGAGATAGAAGTGAGAACAGTTCCACCCAAGGCTTTCTAACAGAGTTTGAAGACAGAGCTAGCGGCTGGATGGGGCTGAGGAGGGCAGAGCAGCTGGAACCCACCCTCATCTGGCCTCCAGTGCTTCCAGACCGTGTCACTGAAGAAAACGCTAACAATAGAAACTGGCTTCGGTGCAATACAGAGCAGCTGAGCTTCTGAGCCCTGCAGCTCCCACCTGGGTGGGAGCTCTGGCTTTCCACAGAGCCTGTTTTTGGTCAGCATAGTAAGTAACCTAGCTTTAGTGCCAAAACGTGGCTCCTGAGTTCTGAGAACAGCGACCGAAATTCTCACCCTCAAAAAAACCAAAATGCCAGGTCTCGCCGTTACCCGGCAGAGCATGGGGGCATCACAGTGGCAGCGGGCGGCAGCATCCCGCAGAATGACACCTAGGGCAGGTGTGATTTATGGGGGGAGGGCAGGTCAGGAAAGGTGTAGTGTTTGGGATGTCGCTCCTGGGGGGCAGTTGAGGTGGAGACTTTGAACTGAATGGCCACAAAGTAACACAGGGAAACAGGCTGGAGAGTAGCTTGGACACGGAGGCCCTGCTGGCCAAGCTAGCTGACTGACCTCCTTCCAGTCTATCTGCAAAAGGGCGACGCCTGCTGCGTAGCTGAAGGAGGGCAAGGAGCCCACACACCCACCTCAGGTTTCTCAAGGGCCAGGAAGCGGAGCTGGAAAATCCCTGCACGGAGCCCAGCTCCCACTTCCCCTTTCGGACGCCTCACTGCGCTGGAGGGTGGGGAGGGTGTTTGCTCTTTCTGCCGGGCCCCTGCCCCTGCCGTCCCTGACAGAGCCTGGCTTGTGAGCCTGCTGGACTGACTCGCTGAGCGGACCTCGTATAGAGGAGTGGCTCCTTCGAAATTTATTATCCTCTCACCCAGAAGCTCAGTGTAGAACTTTCCAGAGTCCCCTCTGTGAGAGCACCCCAGGATGACCCCACTCAGAAGCATCTCCTGAGGGGCCAAACAGCTGTTTCCTCCTGGTTAGTAAGTGTCCCTTAGATACATCGAATCTCTCTCCAAGGAGACTAGGACAAAAAAAAAAAAAATTGGACAAGTAGGAAAATATTTGGGATTCCTCTCCCCTCCCCTTTTTCTAACCTGCAACTTTATGAATTGATGTCCTCTTTGGATAAACTAGATGAATGCACTTTTGTTGTGGAGAATAGAATACAAGTATCATTTTATATACAAAAGGTATGCTTTAGTTATTATGATTGGAAGGTATCGATAGATTATTGTTCCGACTCTATCAGACAGCTGTAATCTTTAGGGAAGGGCTGCTTTATTCTGACTTTTAGAAGTTGTTCTCAAAACCATTTCTCCGGGTGAAATGATTGCTGTGTCACTTTATATGTTAGGATGTGCAGAGTTTAATTGTTAATTGTGTGTGACCAGAGTGGAGCAAAATTGTCACCAGAGGGGGACTGCCATGCTTTCCGCGCAGAGCTCCGCCCACCTGGCGGTGTGTGCCACGGTTTCTGGGCAAGCGCGGGCTGTGTACACACCCCCTGTGCTCACGAGAAGGTAGCCCTAGAGCCGGCTGTGCAGAAAGGTGTGGATCGGAGGTCCTGACCACTGGGCTTCTGCTACCACAGCGCATTGCAGGGGGCCACCCTCAGGATGATGTCTGCCTGACTCACACCTGGCCCGGGCTGCTCGGGCTGCTCGCCAGGGGCGTGGGGACCCTTGCTGTGACCTTGGCTCCGAGTCCCTAATGAGTGCCCCACCCTGCCGAGCTGGGCTGGGCCGTGTGTGCTGCATGGTTGACATCTGCACTTCTGGCAAAGGCCAGTTTAGCTTCCCTGGGCACAGTGAACCTTCTAACTTACAGCCTGCCCCGTCCCCTTTTCTCACTGATGGCAGAAAAGCTTAGACATGTAGTTATAAATTTTAGCAAGGAGATTGAATTTCATGGCGTAAATTTTGTGTACTTCCTTGACATCTAATTCCTATATGCCACTCTGTATATATATTTTTCCAATTAGTTTTCTGTAGGGTGTCTCTATTTCTAAGGTGTTGGAATCGACATTTTTTACACCAAGTTTGGACCAAAAACTGAGGCCAGAGATAAAATTTCACTCCTCTCTCACCTCCAAAGACAGTAGTGTAGCTTGTGGTCCCCCCTCCTGCTCCCTTACACATACACACGCATGCACACGCACACTCTTATGACAAAGTCGGTTCTAATGTCTTGATTCAGAATCCCGCATCAGAACGCGGCTCAGAGCAGCCTTCATCTCCTTGTTCCGCAGGCTGTAGATGAGTGGATTCAGCATGGGGGTCACCACGGCATAAAAGACCACCACCACCTTGTCCTGCTCAGCTGAGGAGGTGGAACGAGGCTGCATGTAGGTAACCAGGGCCATCCCGTAGGACATGGAGACCACAGTGAGGTGGGAGGTACAGGTCCCGAAGGCTTTGCGGCGCCCCCCAGTGGAGCGGATCCGCAGGATGGCGGCCACAATATAGGCGTAGGACAGGGAGACCAGGCAGCAGGGTGCCAGCAGCACCACCACACTGGAGGCCACTATGACTATCTGGTTGAGGGTGATGTCCACACAGGCCAACCGGACGAGAGCCAGTGTCTCACAGGCCACGTGGTTGAGTATGTGGTGCCCACAGGTGGGCAGGCGCAGGGTGACCGCTGTCTCCACTGCAGAGTTAGCTATGCCCACAAGCCAAGCGATTGCTGCCAGCCCCACGCAGCGCCTCAGGCTCATTGCTGCCACGTAGCGCAGGGGGTCACAGACCGCCACATACCGGTCGTAAGCCATTGTGGCCAGCAGCAGGAACTCAGTCCCTGCTAAGGCCAGCGAGAAGAACAGCTGAGTCCCACATCGGGCAAAGGAGATGGTCTTCTTCTCCAGGACCATGTGCACCAGCATCTGGGGGACCCCGCTGGAGGTGTAGCAGATGTCCACCACCGAGAGGTTGTAGAGGAAGAAATACATGGGCAGGTGCAGTCGGGGGTCCAGCTGGATGAGGAGGATAATGAGGCCATTGCCCAGCAGGGTCAGCAGATAAGCAGCCCCAAACAGGGCAAAAAGTCCAGCCTGGGTCTGCCTGTCGCTGGAGAGCCCCAGTAGGACAAACTCATCCGCCCAGGTCAGGTTGTCCCTCTTCATGGAGCGGGGGGCCAGGCTGCAGGGGGAGGAGCAGAATCAGAGAAAGGCAAGTACCGGTCTTACTAACGTTAGGAGTCTCCATTTAGCTGTGGGCTCGGCCTGAGCTGAAACTGGGACACCTCCCTTAGGTTCCTTAGCCTAGGTGCGTAGGGGATTGCAGCGAAGATGCTGGGGAAAGGGACAGTTGGGTTCCCACACTAAACTGCGAGATTCTCAAGGATCAAGTCCCTGTTATGGTCATCCTTTTATGTCTAGGATCCAGCACAGGTATATAGGAGATGCTCTATCAGTGCAGAGAAGAGAGAGAGAAAACTTGTTGCAGGAAAGGGGGAAAGAATGATAGAAGCAAAACAAATAAATAAAATAAAAGAGAAAGAAGAAGGAAGGAAGGAAAGAAGAGAGGAAGCAGATACGGAGGCAGGAAAAGTGGAATACAGCAATGAAAGGTTCTGCAGCCCCGGGGGCAGTGGGTCACGTGTTCTAATCAGACACTTGAGATCAGGAAGGGTCCCCCGAGTCATTCCTAAAAGATGGATTCAGTTGCTCTTCACGCTCCTTCTAGCGTCCAGTCTAGGTTACTGCCTACAAAGGAGTCCTGTTCTATCATTCTCCTCATGCCCATCAATCCAGATGAGGCTTACATCTTTTAAAGCAGTGTTGGTTCAGCTTCTGTGTGTGCCAGGGACTGTGTTAGACAACAGACACCTGTCTGAACAAGACAGGCAGCAGCACAAGTCCCTTTTCCTTGGTTCTTGTTATGTAATCAGGACCACAGAGTAAATTGACACTCCCAAAATTAATTAAGATAACATAATCAGGAAGTCAGATTGAATTAATAATTACAAAAATTAATCAAGAATACTTGCGCTAAGTTCTGTGAAGGAGACGAACAAGGATACTAGTTGGTTAATTAAAGTTCCAGCTATGATTGAGGACCACTGCTGTTACGCCTTCCTTCTCAATAATGTGCAATTTATATAGTAAGTTGCAGGCATTTATTTAGCTGCTTAGATAAATGATTAACAAAATGATGTAATAGGAGCATTTGGAAACCAGTGATGCTTACGTAATACTACTGTGAAGTGACTGAAGTCCACCGAGTGTTTTTCAGAGGGAGCGGATTCTCCTTTCTCAGCCAAGATTGCTCTGCGCTACTTCCCTCCTGACGTGTCCACCGGCCCTGCTGCATAAAAGTAGAACTAAACACCCTCAGTTTTTCATACATATGGAATATCAAAGCATATTTCTTTTAAAATAAGTTATAAATGAACTCATTTATTCAAAATAGTACTGAGTATATGAGGTACTATGTGTTCAACCAGATTCTAGGAAATGCTGCCTTTCAACGTTAGGAGTTTGTGTTTAGAAAATCAGCAGTGCCACAGAATGAAATAAAAAACATGTAAAATATGGATCTTGGTAAAATCTGTTAGAATTAAATGAGAGCCAAACAGAGGACAAATGCAATACGTCTGTGTTAAGGAAACCGGAGTGGAGCCCCTGGAATCTAATACAATAGAATTGGAAAGCATAATCTAATTTGGATTTCTTCTGGCTGAGAATGGTGGCCTGGGCTCTCGTTGGTGGAGGGAGAGAGTGGAGAACCTGGATGGAGTGGGCGTTTTCTTGCCTTCTATTCAGCCCTGGCCCTGCAGTGGCTGGCAGGTGTCACTGTAGAAATTGCCAAGACTAGCACCTGGCGTTAGGGTCTCAGGTTTGGTTGGAGACTGGCTGTAGTGCCAGAGCCCAGGTGCTGGTGGGCGGCGGGGGTTCTGAGCGCGGCCCCAGGCAGCCTGTGGCTGCCCGCAGAGCTGGGTCCTTGTGTCAGCAGAGGAAGTAATTCAGTTCTGATGTAATTCAGTTCTGACCTATGATGATGACCCAGAGGCTGCTATAGCATCGAGGATCCTCACCTTCAGGGTCACTGTCGTGGATCAAGGGCCCCTCCAGACGGGTTCTGGTACTATATAAGAATATAAAAAAATGTCATAAATGAAAGGAACCATAGAGATCATGTTTACCATCCAGTTCGTTTTTCAGAAAAGGAAACCAAGGACCTTTTTGTCTAATAAATTTTGTTGTTTTTAGATGATAAACTATGTTTATTAATACATTGCCTCACCCTCAATTTTTGGGGACAACTAGCGAATTCTGTTCCACTTCACTTGGCCTAGTGAACATGTTACTGGGTGCCGAGTAATGCCTGGCCCAGTGGCAGGTGCTGGGTGACGGGGATCAGCACAGCCTCGTCCCCCTGTCCAGGCGCTCAGCCTGTGGGAGGACAGAGAAAATGAGTTATGACCTTATGAGTTTCCAAAGGAAGCTCAAGCATCAAGTCTGGTAACTGGAGACATGGAGTCGGAAATGTAATAGCCAGGGAGATGTGTAGAAATAATAAAGTAAAGAAACAACCAGTTCATTTCCTTCTTGGAAAAAAAGTAGATGAGGTTCAAGGTGTATGTAGAACTGGAGACCTGGGTTTCGACCTGTATGAATAAACCATCTAGGTGGCATTATAAAACGCTAGCTTTTCAAGCCATATTTTCTTTGCTTGCACAATGAACAAGTTAGGCAAACACCTAGTGTTCTCCTAGCTCTACAGATCTGCAATAAATGGATATATGTAAGCTGTCATTACAGGCAGTATAAAAAGGGGGAAAAATTCTGCAGTCTTTGATTACTCTTCATAGTAGGAGTAGAGGCAATAAAACCTTATGGGTTACTGGGTTGGGGAATCAGCATTGATACCATACATAACTGTTTGGGGAGGTGTCAGTGATGGAACTAGGCTGACTTGAAAAACAGAGGCTAGCAAAAAGGGAAGGGGCCGCACAAATAGAAATGAGAGGAGCTTTTTGGTCAAAGCTGTAAGATTTGTAGACTTCTGATACATGCATGCGCTTCTTTCTCAAGTTGGTCCACATATTCCCTAGAGTGAGATGATCCCTAATACCAAGTTTTCCCCCAGATCAGGGGCCAAAACTGAGAAAAGACGTGTCTGTGTCTCTCTTTGATTCTTACAGCGATCCCAGCTCTTCTCTCTTCCTCCTCCTTAACTCCAACATAATGAAATGCCTGGGATCCCAGGAAAGCGCTTCTCTCTTTTGATCTCTGCTCTTCCGTCCTTTGAATGCATGTCTGTATACACTGAGCACTTCAGTTTATGCTGTCGATTGGATGACTGACCAAGACTCTATGGAGTGGCTCACAAACCAGGAGTTGCACCATCAAGGTCATGGGAGGAATCAAAGAGCCTCCAGTGACAACCAGTGAGAAACACCGGGGAGGATCCCGGGGCAGCCCTGGCTGCTCCCAGGGATGTGGGCTGCATCCTGTCTGTCTCCTCGTAACCTTCCCAGTGGGGCACTCACCGAGGCCGCGTGTTCACCTTATGCACAGAACCTGTTTTGCATGGGGAGACAACACGTCTCTCAGGCAGTCCTCAGAGCCGTTGTCGACCCTCTTCCTGGGAAGGGAGGTTTGACTTTGTGAGCCTTAGCTGATACTTTTCAGAAGTTAAGAATCCCCAGAGGGCAATTACTTGCTCTTGGTGTGTTTCTTTACTCATTCTCTGCCCTCCACCCCCTACCTCCTTCTTGGCAACTATCACAGCTCCTCGCCCTTCCAGTTTCCCAAGGGGATAAACATTCTGAAAATGTTTTTTATCTCAACTTTTAATTGTTCTTCTAGTTGCCAGGCTAATGAGCCCTTCTTTGAGTCTTTGCGGTCTTTCAGTGCCCTTCAAGGCTGTGGGGTCGCTGGAGACTTTTGGCAGGAGTGAGGAGACAGGAATAAAGTCTAAGAGCCCGATCTCCCTCCCATGGGGAGAAAATGAGTGCGTCTTCTCCCCTCCTTCCATGTATCTAGTTGTAGTGACCAGGGAGTGGTGAGCATTGCACAGCAGAATCATTGTGTTCATGGGCTGGAAACCACTGAGAAGTCCCAAGCTCACAATCATTAAAATATCTCTACAGGCTCCTTGGTGGTCTCCCATATCACATTTCTGTTGAATTCGGTTTTCCTTCCATATTTTCATACCACTGGAAACTTTTCCATCTTTCACTGATCTGGATCTCCCAGTTCTTGATCACTTTCCTCAAAGTTTTAATGACTTCACTGGCGTAACTGAAAGGAACAAAGAAAACAATAAGTCAGGATGGAGTTTTATTCTCAATATTTATCTATCTGTTTCTATGGTAACAAAACATGGGTCCTTGGTAATATGGGAAGGAAAAGCAGACATATTGTTAATGAGTGACCCACTAGAATTTTTTTTGGTAATAATTGGCCAATATCAGTAAGGAACAGTTTTAATTATGTTGAAGATTTTTTAAAATAGAATTTATTGGGGTGACACCGGTGAACAAAGTTACCCAGTTTTCAGGTGCACAGTTCCACCACACATCATCTGTGCATTGTGTTGTGTGTTCGCCACCTGTCCCGTCTCCGTTGACCACCGTCGACCTCCCCTGTACCCTCCTCCTCGTTCTAACCACGACAGAGCGGGGGTCCACGCTCTTCCCTTTGTGCAGTGTATTTGTGCTCCCCTCACCATGCAGCTAAGCCCAAAGGACCTGAAGCTCTCCCAGCCCCAAAGTCCATCAAATGAAAAAACTGATGGGGGCTTTCTGACTTAGAACTGGAGCCGAAAGCTGAGGGCAGGAAGGGCAGAGGTAAGGAGAAACCCAAGGGCGTGATGAGGGAGGAGAGGGAGAGAGACAGACACACCTGAGAGCTGGGCTTCCTGAGGTTCACCGAAGTTTGATTTAGCATGAGCTGGTGCAGGTGAGTCCACGGTAAAGGAAAGAACAGCTGGGTACTGTCTTCCAGGTGACATGGTACATGATCATCTAATAAAAATACTTTCTGCAGTATGGTCCTAAATTGTAAGAAATAATGTACATACAATAGGATGAAAGACTTCAGTAAAGACTGAAACCCAGGAGAAGACTGAACGAGTGATCATAGAAATCAGTGGGCTAACTCTGGTACTAGGTGGGCTTTTTTGGT